ACTATAGCTCATGTAGCTTTGGGAGTCTCCCAAACTAGTATAACAATATAATAGGGTATATAGTAGGGGTTATAGTGGGTTTTATATTGGGATAATGGAGAAGAGAATGGAAACTACTATAATAGGTTTAGGGTTTAGGGTTGGGGTTATATTGGGGATAATGGAAAAGAAAATGGAAACTACTATTACATGGGTTATATAGGGAATATATAGGGTTAATGGAAAAGAGAATGGAAACTACAGGAATTATGAGGGTTCTATAGGGTATATATTGGGGTTATATTGGGATAATGGAGAAGAAATGGAAACTACTATAATCGGTTTAGGGTTTAGGGCCTGGCTTCGCAACGAAGAGGCGAAAAGACATGGCAGTGGTCCCTAAAGGGGGCTATATAGGGAATGTATAAGGGACTACATACAGGGAGTTATATTGGGGTTTTCTAGGGGACCATTATAGGGGGTTATATAGGGCACTATTTTAGGGGTTCTATAGGGGACTATTTTAGGGGGTTATATAGGGGGTTATAGAGGGGATTATCTTAGGGGTTATTCAGGGGTATACTAGGAGTGGCTCAGTAGCAGTGCAGAGGTACCTCACCGTTTGCCAGGCATTCCGCACTGGCCTCTCACAGCAGCTCTTCACACTGTCTGTCCTCAGGGCATGATCAACTCCGCAAGACTGCAGGGCAACCAGCATGAAAGCTGCAGCTTTCTGCTGAGGTGCACGTTGCGCCCGAACATACCGCCCAAACATTGCGCGTAGTCCTGGCAGTAGGAACGATTGCCTCTTTTGCACCATACAACCAAGGTCTGTCATCTGTAGGTGGCAAGGGGCAAAGTCGTGACAGAGCTCAATGTGACCGGAATCTTGTTGAAGAATCCTTCCCGGTCGAGGAACAGAGCTCTTTGGTGGCCGACTGCTTGCGTGCATCTAAATTCTTGGACTGGGGCTTTGCACTGGGCATATACGCTCCGAAACTAGCAGTTTCTTCATGCTTGAGAGGTCGACAGCTACAACGCTCAACAGCATGAGGAGCCTTTCGATGCGTTCCAACAACCATTGGAGATTCTGGATTTGCAGTTTCTGAAAGCTGCCTCCGAAATTGGACCAGGCTCATCTAGAAGAAGCACTACGCCCTTCTCGATCGCCGCTGCGTAAAGCTGTGTTCCACATTCCGACAAACAAAAGGAACGTATCTCATGTGACATGAGACTGCTTAGTGTGAGTGGGCCGGGTTGGTTCTGATGCGCAAGAGTGCAGTTTTGGAATAGAAGCCTCGATTGGGATGCTTAGTTTTGGGTACTCATGCTGTGCTGGCGTGCTCCGCAACAAGCTAGACTCAACAAGACACAGCGCAGTTTCAGACACTGGTGATACAAGCGCCTGCTGGAAGTTGGTGCCAAAAAGTCTGCCAAAGCCGGCCTGGCCAATCTGTGCCAAAGTTCAGATGCGAACTTTGATTTTTCCCTCTCGGCTCCGGGCAGCATCAGGAGCCTAGGAATTCTTACTCGAGGCGCATTTACAGTGTGCAACTGGTTAACGAAGTTGGCCTGAAACTGGGCCAAGTTGTGCCAAGCGACGTTGCCAGGCTAAAGCGAAAGCAGGCCATGGCTCACAGACTATTTACGGGTCGTCTATGACTGCGGCGACAGGAAAACCTGAACAACAAGGGCTGCGAGCATGCCACCAGCCACAGTTCCACACTCGCTTTCAAGACACAAACTTGTATAGGGGATATAGGGGTTATGTAGGGAGTATATAGGGTATATAGTGATAATGGAAAAATGGAAACTACTATTTAGGATTTGCGGTTTTGCAACGCGCGCCATGATAAACAAGGACCTGTTGTGTAGGTGCCCCTGCTTGGCTGCACGCGTTGCCTGCCTCAGCCACTTGCTGCGCCAAGGCCTGTTAGCTCATCACAGAGCTACGAGTTTTTAGGGTTTAGGCTTCAGGGTTTCAGCCATGGCCTGTGCGCATCCTTTCCGCAGCATTGGGTCGGCCGGATGCTGATGCTGACAGTCACGCCTGTTTTTCTGCGAAACGTGATCCTGCAACGTGCTGCGCCCCAAGACATGCCCGTACATAGACAGGATGTCAGGACGTCCACAGAAGCTTGTTCCATCCGACAAAGCTCTCGAAAACAAAGCGCTGCATCACACGATTATCTGCACAACGTGGCGGCGGTGCCCCGTTTCGGGCTGCACCAAGACCCGCATCGAGGGAGCATAAATTCGCCCATGCTTCACGCCTCCGTGAAGCACGAGCGATGGAAGTGCTGAAGATGCGGAAAATGACATCACAGATATCACGCACTCTCAACACTCTGTGTGAAAAACATCCGGAGATGAATCATCAATCTGTACAAGAAGCATGCTGTGCCTGGGGCAGATGAGATGAGGCGGCCTTGCGCCGCCTGTCAAGCACCCAGAGGGCGCCGACGAGAAGTGCCTTGGCACACATTCTGTCATGGGTTTATCTTCGGTGCCATCAGCAGCACAGGCATAAAGTGAGAGCTACTCGCATGAAGCAGTGCTTGCGTTTTGGGGGAAGACATGAGAACACACATGCCAGCTTCTTGATGTCTTGCCAATTTATGGGCTTCTTGCTGACTGGGTACAGTTGCGGAGGTCATTCCCAGATGCAACAGCTGGGTCGGGATCCAGCCTGCAACTTCACAGGTTGCAGGTGATAAGCCGCCTGTCTGCCATAATGTGGCATTAGTTCGTCCCTCCCCTCCCTAGCATGACCGCATGAGCTATAGCCTAAACTCCTTAAAAAGGGGGTCATATAAGGGATTGTAAAGGGGACTTCTATAAGGGGTTATTAAGGGGGAT